CCCGACCCTTGTGACTAGTATAAAGACCCGACCATTGTGACTAGTATAAAGATCCGACCCTTGTGACTAGTATAAAGACCCGACCCCTGTGAGTAGAATAAAGACCTGACCCATGTGAGTAGAATAAAGACCCGACCCATGTGAGTAGAATAAAGACCCGACCATTGTGACTAGTATAAAGACCCGACCCCTGTGAGTAGTATAAAGACCCGACCATTGTGACAAGTATAAAGACCCGACCATTGTGACTAGTATAAAAACCCGACCCTTGTGACTAGTATTAAGACCTGACCATTGTGACAAGTATAAAGACCCGACCATTGTGACTAGTATAAAACCCGACCCTTGTGACTAGTATAAAGGCCCGACCATTGTGACTAGTATAAAGACACGACCATTGTGACTGACTAGTATAAAGACCCGACCCGTGTGAGTAGTATAAAGACCCGACCATTGTGACAAGTATAAAGACACGACCATTGTGACTGACTAGTATAAAGACCCGACCCGTGTGACTAGTATAAAGACCCGACCATTGGGACTAGTATAAAGACCCGACCCTTGGGACTAGTATAAAGACCCGACCCTTGTGATTAGTATAAAAACCCGACCCCTGTGAGTAGAATAAAGACCTGACCCATGTGAGTAGAATAAAGACCCGACCATTGTGACTAGTTTAAAGACCCGACCATTGTGACTAGTATAAAAACCCGACCCTTGTGACTAGTATTAAGACCTGACCATTGTGACAAGTATAAAGACCCGAGCATTGTGACTAGTATAAAAACCCGACCCTTGTGACTAGTATAAATACCCGACCCGTGTGAGTAGTATAAAGACCCGACCATTGTGACTGACTAGTATAAAGACCCGACCCGTGTGACTAGTATAAAGACCCGACCCATGTGAGTAGAATAAAGACCCGACCATTGTGACTAGTATAAAATCCCGACCCTTGTGACTAGTATTAAGACCTGACCATTGTGACAAGTATAAAGGCCCGACCATTGTGACTAGTATAAAGACACGACCATTGTGACTGACTAGTATAAAGACCCGACCCGTGTGAGTAGTATAAAGACCCGACCATTGTGACTGACTAGTATAAAGACCCGACCCGTGTGACTAGTATAAAGACCCGACCAGTGTGACTAGTATAAAGACCCGACCAGTGTGACTAGTATAAAGACCCGACCCCTGTTAGTAGAATAAAGCCCTGACGCTTGTGACTAGTATAAAGACCCGACCAGTGTGACTAGTATAAAGATCCGACCCTTGTGACTAGTATAAAGACCTGACCATTGTGACAAGTATAAAGGCCCGACCATTGTGACTAGTATAAAGCCCCGACCATTGTGACTAGTATAAAGACCCAACCATTGTGACTAGTATAAAGACCCTACCATTGTGACTCGTATAAAGACCCGACCCTTGTGACTAGTATCAAGACTTGACCCTTGTGTCTAGTATAAAGACACGACCATTGTGACTAGTATAAAAACTCGACCCTTGTGACTAGTATTAAGACCTGACCATTGTGACAAGTATAAAGACACGACCATTGTGACTAGTATAAAAACCCGACCCTTGTGACTAGGATTAAGACCTGACCATTGTGACAAGTATAAAGGCCCGACCATTGTGACTAGTATAAAGACCCGACCATTGTGACTATTATAAAGACCCGACCCCTGTTAGTAGAATAAAGACCTGACGCTTGTGACTAGTATAAAGACCCGACCCTTGTGACTAGTATAAAGACCCTACCATTGTGACTCGTATAAAGACCCGACCATTGTGACTAGTATAAAGACCCGACCATTGTGACTCGTATAAAGACCCGACCATTGTGACTAGTATAAAGACCCGACCCTGTGACTAGTATAAAGACCCGACCATTGTGACTCGTATAAAGACCCGACCATTGTGACTAGTATAAAGACCCGACCATTGTGACTCGTATAAAGACCCAACCATTGTGACTAGTATAAAGACCCGACCATGGTGACTCGTATAAAGACCCGACCCTTGTGACTAGTATAAAGACCTGACCCTTGTGACTAGTATAAAGACCCGACCATTGTGACTAGTATAAAGACCCGACCCTGTGACTAGTGTAAAGACTCTTGTGACTAGAACGCAAACCCGAACTTTGTGACTAGAATGGAGACCCGACCTATTCAGCTAGAATAAGGACACGACCCTCATGTTTTACTCGATAAATTAAATAAAGCCTCCAAACTGCCAGTACTTTATGACAAACTATTTGACCTCAAAAATTATCATTAATTATTTTGACAAAAAATGATAGCTTACGAAACCGTTGTGAATCTATAATCGCTCTTTCTGGTTAACTTGTTACGAAACAGGACACTTGCTGTCGTCACCTTAACAGTGGTTGAGGAGTTACGCAATATCCCGCGAGAATCGTAATATTAGGCGAGACTGTTCACGGTGAACAATTTATAAATCAACACTTTCTGTAACTGGCGGTCAGCCTGGAAATAAGTATCGCGCGATTAACCAGGCCTATGTAATGCGAGTTTATCTGGGTTTAGCTAATCATATTTATCCATCACTTTAGCGGTTTCATAGTCACATGTCGCATGCACTGTGGTCGGAGGTGTACGTACTAGCTGCAGCTTGACCCTTACCAGAATTCGCTGACCAGCCAGTTCTGTTGTTCTGTACAAAGGTTTGTTTGGTATGGCCTAACCTGTTACCACATACAACGCCATTTACATCGCCAGTGCGCGTTTCACACACGTGTCGAGGAAAAAAACCTGCTACACGTGCATCGCACAAGAATTGGATATTTTCGTTGTCGGTAAGTACATGTAAATATATGTTTAATAATATGAAAATAAAGCACCATTATTTAAATACATGTTTATGTTCAATTATTGTGAAATATGCTCAATAAAGTTGTGAAATATGTTCATATAAGTATCACATGGACCTGAGAATTTGTAATAGCTATAGGCGAATTTGTTATCACGAAACTAGTTTTAGTTTCGAACTAGTTTTGTAAACTTTCTATTTTCTTAATGAAAACCAGTTTAAACTATTTTTAAACTGAAACTGGTTTTTCATTTGTTAAAGGTAAACCAAAACCGGTTCGGAAAACTGATCAAACTGCACCCAGGTGGGGTTCTGTAATTGGTTTCCAAAATAATTTGGCGTCGATAGAAAGCGTGATGGTTGCACAGGAATTTTTCAATATATCGGCAATCTGCTGCGCAGACATTTCTATTATAACTAAATAAATAAATTTATTAAATTACATGATTTTTTTTTAAGTTGAAATATTGAAAAATCAATAAAAAAAATGTGCAATTTTGAAAAAGTTGTTTCGATAATTAATTTGATTTGGTTGGGTTTCATAATACAAAGTCAGACCAATCGCTAGGCTGATACATTTCCTCTGAAAATTACACATGAGTTACATCCAAATCCGAACATAACGACTTAGCCGTTGCGTTGCTGCGCGATTGTTTTGATTGTCATTATAAACGTCAGACTAGACTATTAAGAGTCATCAGTTTTGACGTGGCTCATTCCAAAGGTGGAGAGAAGGTATTTCTAAACATGTTCAGCTTTATGTTGGGCAGCATTAGATTGTACACATGTTCATGTCACGTGACTTGTTATTAACTAGTATGATATCCATGTAACCTGTCACTTTCATCAGACTTTACTTTTTTGACGAAGATGAATGGGAATGTATCGTACTAAGTCATTAAAACGTCAAACAAACATTATACTGGTTGTACTATATGTAAACAGTGTAGAGAAAATATGAATGCCGAGGGCAGAACCACAGGGGCACGCAACTACTATTGATATTGATATTGTTAGACTTTCAGTCGCTGGGTACGTTATATCCACACAGGCACTTTTACATGAGAGCTGGAGTTAACTCGATGGAACGATTTGTGTGGGTTTTTTTGAAAAGGGACATAGAGGATAATATTCTATTAAAACACACAAAGATAATTTTCACTTAATTGCAAGCTGAAATATATCTAAATATCAATTCAAAAATAAATAAATAAATACACTTACAAAGTCCCTTATGTATATGATGTCATTTGATTATTATCTCCTCATTATCCGACACGACACCACTGAGATAAAAAATGTATATTTGCATGCCAAAGAAAATGCATTAGTTTAGATGACGCAATTACAGCCAAGCTATATTGAATTGACATTCTATCCTGATAAATTTCATTACAAAAATGTTTGTTGAGATGTAAAAGTAAAAACACGCATTTTAAGATTTTAACGTGTCTGCCCTCTATGCAACACTAACTGTATGACTATTTTGTAATACCCCAGGTTGCAGGGTATATATCCTTTATTTTATTTGCTAGCTTGTGTATAATCAAGATCGGTTTGGTTTGAGTTTATTTTGTTTAACGTCCTATTAACAGCTAAAGGCGTGCCTCCATGTGTGTGGATTCTTAGGCGGCTGCATAGTGTTACCTCATTGAAAAATCATGCCAAAGGCACCCAGTACGTTTATCATAACCAGTATTACTGGCGTAGGCCACAGTTAGTAAGTTAACTCTGTTAGTAAGTTAACTCTGTTAGTAAGTTAACTCTGTTAGTAAGTGTACAGAACAATAAGGAATGGCATACTTTATGTAAGTTTATTTTTGAAGCAAAAAAAATGAGATCAAGAAACCATACTTAAGTGATTATATGTACAGTTGTAATGATATAAAATATATTACTACATGATCTTATGACTGTATGTACCCGTGCCTTTTTATTGTACGCCATGACATATCCTGTAATTGGATTCAAGGCCTAATAAAGAACTTGAACTTAATTTCTTGAAATGTTAAAAAAAAAGTTTATCATATCACGACTGATTCCACCTTTAATAATAAATACCTGTTTAAAAAACAACAGTAACAATCTATCCTAATTTGCTTTCGTAGGTGACCTCACAATTGTGATTTTCAACAAAATATCATGTCGGAAGGAAAACAGGAGAGAGCCACGGACGAACGTGCGCAGTGGGATGACAAAAAGCAGAAGTTTGAACCATTGGTTATAAGTACAAACTCACTAAGAGGAATGACTCAGGCTCGACATGCGAAACGAATAGTACCCGAATCTCTTAAAGACGAAACATATTGGGAAAAACGGAAAAAGAACAACATTGCCGCCAAGCGTTCAAGAGAAAGCAGACGACGAGTTGAGTCAGATATACGAATAAAAATTGATATACTCGAAAAAGAAAACATGCTCCTCAAAAAAGAAATGTCCTTGCTGAAATCGAAATACGGTATTCCTGCAGAACACTCTATGTTGACACACCAGGAAAGACTCGATTGTTTACACGAGTTTGATGAGTCACGTACTTCAAGTGGGAGGGCAGAGAAGTTCGGGGAGTCTTTAGATGATTCGCAGAGTAAAATGTCCCGCAAGGAGGAACCCATTATGACGAAATATGAGAGCCGAGGCACGAACATTAGTCGTCAGTCGTCCGACCACGAGGATGAAAAGAGTTCGTCCGTATGCAGTGAATATGGGCATCCAATGGCATATAATAATTCATTCGATGGTATCGTATGGTCAACTGGCGCTGAGCAGCAAACTCATATGGAACAGAATGGAAGCGATCGGCGGTTTACTATCGAAGGTTTAAACCTTAACCCATATGGTCAGATAGGACACTTTCCTTATCACTATGTGTCCTACCAGATGGGTCATAAAGGTCATGAAGGTCATGAGCAGGGTTTCTTCATGGGAGCCAATCGAAAACAAACACATATATCGGCAAATTTATCCATGACCAAATCAGATGATCTCAGACACGGAAACACATCTGTACAAATCCAATCTCTTCGTAGAGCCAGCCCTAACACGAGTATGGAAAACGGACAAGTTTGTCCGATGTCAGCTTCGTGTGAATCAACATCTTCCGAAAGGAATGTTGCTTGCACTAATAAGCTAGACAAAGTTGAACTGAGAAGAAAAATCATGCAATTATCTGCACAATGTGAGGAAATGAAGGACTTTGTTTTTAAGGCATAAGGTACATGTATATGGTATACTCATATAACATGGCCCAATACTGGTGTATGATATAGTCTGTGTGTACAGTATATACTGGTGTATGATATAGTCTGTGTAAAGTATATACTGGTGTATGATATAGTCTGTGTGTTTAAAGTAAATACTTTTGTATGATATAGTCTGTGTGTACAGTATATAATGGCATATGATATAGTCTGTGTGTAAAGTATATACTGGTGTATGATATAGTCTGTGTGTATATATACTGGTGTATGATATAGTCTGTGTGTACAGTATATACTGGTGTATGATATAGTCTGTGTGTTTAAAGTAAATACTTGTGTATGATATAGTCTGTGTGTACAGTATATAATGGTATATGATATAGTCTGTGTGTAAAGTATATACTGGTGTATGATATAGTCTGTGTGTATATATACTGGTGTATGATATAGTCTGTGTATACAGTATATACTGGTGTATGATATAGTCTGTGTGTATATATACTGGTGTATGATATAGTCTGTGTATACAGTATATACTGGTGTATGATATAGTCTGTGTGTACAGTATATACTGGTGTATGATATAGTCTGTGTGTATATATACTGGTGTATGATATAGTCTGTGTATACAGTATATACTGGTGTATGATATAGTCTGTGTGTACAGTATATACTGGTGTATGATATAGTCTGTGTGTATATATACTGGTGTATGATATAGTCTGTGTATACAGTATATACTGGTGTATGATATAGTCTGTGTGTACAGTATATACTGGTGTATGATATAGTCTGTGTGTATATATACTGGTGTATGATATAGTCTGTGTATACAGTATATACTGGTGTATGATATAGTCTGTGTGTACAGTAAATACTGGTGTATGATATAGTCTGTGTGTATATATACTGGTGTATGATATAGTCTGTGTATACAGTATATACTGGTGTATGATATAGTCTGTGTGTACAGTATATACTGGTGTATGATATAGTCTGTGTGTATATATACTGGTGTATGATATAGTCTGTGTATACAGTATATACTGGTGTATGATATAGTCTGTGTGTACAGTATATACTGGTGTATGATATAGTCTGTGTGTATATATACTGGTGTATGATATAGTCTGTGTATACAGTATATACTGGTGTATGATATAGTCTGTGTGTACAGTATATACTGGTGTATGATATAGTCTGTGTGTATATATACTGGTGTATGATATAGTCTGTGTATACAGTATATACTGGTGTATGATATAGTCTGTGTGTACAGTATATACTGGTGTATGATATAGTCTGTGTGTATATATACTGGTGTATGATATAGTCTGTGTATACAGTATATACTGGTGTATGATATAGTCTGTGTGTACAGTATATACTGGTGTATGATATAGTCTGTGTGTATATATACTGGTGTATGATATAGTCTGTGTATACAGTATATACTGGTGTATGATATAGTCTGTGTGTACAGTATATACTGGTGTATGATATAGTCTGTGTGTATATATACTGGTGTATGATATAGTCTGTGTATACAGTATATACTGGTGTATGATATAGTCTGTGTATACAGTAAATACTGGTGTATGATATAGTCTGTGTGTATATATACTGGTGTATGATATAGTCTGTGTATACAGTATATACTGGTGTATGATATAGTCTGTGTGTACAGTATATACTGGTGTATGATATAGTCTGTGTGTATATATACTGGTGTATGATATAGTCTGTGTATACAGTATATACTGGTGTATGATATAGTCTGTGTGTACAGTATATACTGGTGTATGATATAGTCTGTGTGTATATATACTGGTGTATGATATAGTCTGTGTATACAGTATATACTGGTGTATGATATAGTCTGTGTGTACAGTATATACTGGTGTATGATATAGTCTGTGTGTATATATACTGGTGTATGATATAGTCTGTGTATACAGTATATACTGGTGTATGATATAGTCTGTGTGTACAGTATATACTGGTGTATGATATAGTCTGTGTGTATATATACTGGTGTATGATATAGTCTGTGTATACAGTATATACTGGTGTATGATATAGTCTGTGTGTACAGTATATACTGGTGTATGATATAGTCTGTGTGTATATATACTGGTGTATGATATAGTCTGTGTATACAGTATATACTGGTGTATGATATAGTCTGTGTATACAGTATATACTGGTGTATGATATAGTCTGTGTGTACAGTATATACTGGTGTATGATATAGTCTGTGTGTATATATACTGGTGTATGATATAGTCTGTGTATACAGTATATACTGGTGTATGATATAGTCTGTGTGTACAGTATATACTGGTGTATGATATAGTCTGTGTGTATATATACTGGTGTATGATATAGTCTGTGTATACAGTATATACTGGTGTATGATATAGTCTGTGTGTACAGTATATACTGGTGTATGATATAGTCTGTGTGTATATATACTGGTGTATGATATAGTCTGTGTATACAGTATATACTGGTGTATGATATAGTCTGTGTGTACAGTATATACTGGTGTATGATATAGTCTGTGTGTATATATACTGGTGTATGATATAGTCTGTGTATACAGTATATACTGGTGTATGATATAGTCTGTGTGTATATATACTGGTGTATGATATAGTCTGTGTGTACAGTATATACTGGTGTATGATATAGTCTGTGTGTACAGTATATACTGGTGTATGATATAGTCTGTGTGTATATATACTGGTGTATGATATAGTCTGTGTATACAGTATATACTGGTGTATGATATAGTCTGTGTGTATATATACTGGTGTATGATATAGTCTGTGTGTACAGTATATACTGGTGTATGATATAGTCTGTGTATACAGTATATACTGGTGTATGATATAGTCTGTGTATACAGTATATACTGGTGTATGATATAGTCTATGTGTAAAGTATATACTGGTATATGCTATAGTCTGTGTGTACAGTATATACTGGTGTATGATATTGTCTATGTGTAAAGTATAAACTGGTGTATGATATAGTCTGTGTGTATATATACTGGTGTATGATATAGTCTGTGTGTATAAAGTAAATACTGGTGTATGATATAATATGTGTGTATAAAGTAAATACTGGTGTATGATATAGTCGGTGTAAAGTATATACTGGTGTATGCTATAGTCTGTGTAAAGTATATACTGGTGTATGATATAGTCTGTGTGTACAGTATATACTGGTGTATGATATAGTCTGTGTGTATATATACTGGTGTATGATATAGTCTGTGTGTAAAGTATATACTGGTGTATGATATAGTCTGTGTATATATACTGGTGTATGATATAGTCTGTGTATACAGTATATACTGGTGTATGATATAGTCGGTGTAAAGTATATACTGGTGTATGATATAGTCTGTGTGTATAAAGTATATACTTATGTATGATATAGTCTGTGTGTATAAAGTAAATACTGGTGTATGATATATTCTGTGTGTATATTATATACTGGTGTATGATATAGTTTGTGTATGATATAGATTGTGTGTAAATGATATAGTATACTGTGTAATATATGTGCTTAAATAATTGTTTTTATGAACAATTACTGGTATTTAGATGAAAATATATCAATCTTTTATGCAATTTACGATATGATTATAAGTGTTTATATAATTACTCCGAATCTGCTATGTTGATTATGGTATCGATTTGCGACCGACTTGTCTGTAAATTCAAACATATATTGTGTATGGTTTATTACCATTATTTTTTTGTTGAAAATAAAAACAAATCACAAGGAACGCTAACTTTTTTCTTCGTTAATTTTATATGTTGCTGCAATATCACATCATCGATACCCCAGGGGTTCCAGGAGTGCAGGGAGCGAAAGTGAGCGTTACCCCTGGAATATCGAGGCTGGCAATATCATTGCATTGGACGTTCTTCACAATTCGATTTCTGTCGAGCATGCATGTGACAAATCAGCGGACCGGGGCTAACAGGGGAATAGGGATCAATCCTTCTCCTTCCGTACGAATGGAGGGATTTAAACCAAATTGGTAAGGGGGCGTACCTGGGCCAAGAAGACTCGGTGTTGTATAAACGGAGTTCGTGGTCACCCGTCGGGTAGAGGAATGGTGCATAATAAAAAATATAGTCAAATGTTTAAAATCTTCATCATTCCTCACGGATGAAGGGCTTTTAGAAAAAAATGGTCTGGATTTTTATTTGGCAAGGAAACTCGATATTCGATACAGGAATACCTATTTAAAACTAGGATTGGCCCTCAGGTTAAGCCCTGATCTTCGGAACATAATTCCTGGAATGCTAACGTAGAAACGAATTATATTCTTTATATAGCTTCGGTGGTGAACATATGAACACAATAATGCTATCAGAAATCGCTCTTTGATCTCGCTTCGCCCCTGAGGACTTAGTCCTTTGGTTATAAATGGAAACTGTTAGGTTACACACCCTATAATGACATCTGTCATTGCTGGGTATGGAAAGGGAATGATCTCATGTTAACATATTTGACCAAGGGATCATGCCGGCCTCAAGGGACTCGTGTCTTGGGTCCTACTCTGAAAAAAGGTGAGGTCCCGGCCTTTAACCATATATTCCCTTTTTTAGATGTGACAAAACAAATGCACCAACATTACAATGCTTGGCCAAAAACAGAAAGAATTTTCTTACCCTTTTTGTGAAGCTCTAGCAACAAAACATATTTAGAGAGGATGCGACTTTTTCTTTGTTTTTTTGTTCTGCTGAGTTTTGTGACAAACAACAGAATACCGGTATGTCAACAGAATACCGGTATGTCAACAGCAGAATACCGGTACGTCAACAGCAGAATACCGATATGTCAACAGCAGAATACCGGTATGTCAACAGAATACCGGTATATCAACAGCAGAATTCCGGTACGTCAACAGCAGAATACCGGTATGTCAACAGCAGAATACCGGTATGAATACCGGTATGTCAACAGCAGAATACCGGTATGTCAACAGAATACTGGTATGTATACAGAATACCGGTATGTCAACAGAACAGTAATTCGCTCTGAGAATCGATACAAATAGGAACAAAGGAAATATAAAGATGAAGTCAAACA